AGAGCTCCCCTGGGTAGGTTCAGGTGGGAGCGACTTCATGTAGTAGGGTGGGGAGAAGGAGAGACAGAGGAAGCACTCAGGTCAGTGCAGGAGAGGGCCGCGTCCGCTCATCCAAGCAGGGGGACCACACGGGGAGGAGCAGGCTGGTGGTGGTGGAAGGGAGATGCCACAGTCAATTCTGTTCGCTGCTCGGCCTCGCGGTGGAGGCATCCAATAAGCGGCTGGATCTGGCCCTCGGGAACAAGAGCCGGTCTACCTGCCCCCAAAGGCGCCCGGCTCGGATCTGAGATGATCCCATGGCGGGAAGGGCCGGGCCGGGGTGGTGGTTGGGGGTCTGCCTCATCTGGAGCCCGGGTGGAAAATTCTCCGCTTGCAGGAACACGGCTGGCGAAGTCCGAAGGTCCCCCGCTGACTCCGGCGTCCTTAAATGCCGGGTCGCTAGGCTGAGGAGAATCTCTCCTGGAGACCTGCCGTTTTAGGGTGGGGGGGAACCCAGGTGTCCCCGCGTGGTCGCGTGCCCCCGGCGCGGGCCAGACCGAGCGCACGCCGAGCAGAGGCGGGGGGCGCTCTCGGGCCTCCTCTCGCGCCCCGCGGCCGCTGGGGAAGGACCTCAGCGCGCCCGCGCCGCCGCCAATCAGCGCGTCGCTCCCGCGGCCGCCCCGGCGCTCCAGTGACGCGCGCGCCAGCCCGCGCCCGCGGCGCTTTGGACGACGGCCCCTCCCGCGCCCGCCCGGCCCGTTAGCTGCGCGCTGCGCCTCTTGTGCGACGGCCCCTGGGCGGCGGCGGCGGCGCGTGCGGGGCGCGGCCTTGGCGCGCCCCCTGGCGGCCCGGCGGGGCGCTGCGGGCGCGGCGCTGACCCGGAGGCGGCGGCGGCGGTGCCCGGATGGAGGCACGTCATTGTCCCCCGCCGGGCGGCTGGGCTGTGTGCGGCGGCGGCGGCGGCGGCGGCGGCGGCCGAGGGGGATGGAGCGAGCGCCGAGCCGGGTCAGGTAAGCTCCCGCCTCCTCCCCGCCCGCCGCCGGCCGGCGTGGGCCCCACGGATCGCTCGGCTCGCCCCGGCTGCCGCCGGCCGGGCCGCCCCTCAGCCGGCGCGGCCCGCCGGGGGGCTGGCGCGGCCCCTCGCCCGCCGGCCCCGCTCCGCAGCGGGCCGGGCCGCCAGGGACCCCGCCGCGCGGGTGGCAGCGCCGCCGCCGCCGGCCGGTCCGGGCCAGGCCCGCCGGGGAGGGGGGCGGCGGCCGCGGCGCCGCGGGAGCCGGGCTGCGCGGGGGAGGCCCGGCTGCCCCCCGGTTGCCATGGACACTGCCCTCCCGGCGCCCCCGCCCGGCCCAGCCCGCTCTCTCGGGCTGTGGGCCGGGTCCGGGGCGGCCGGGCCGGCACCGGTCTGTCCTGGGTGGGCGTGTGCCGGCCGCGGGCCCCCCCCTCCCCACCACCCCGCGTGGCTGCCACCTCCCGCCCCCCGCCCCGAGCGCCCCCGGGAGCCCCGGGCTTGCCTCCCCGACCCCCCCAAAGAGACAAACTTTCCCACCGGTTCGGCCCGCCGCGCCAGCGCCGGTCCGCTCCGCCCTCGCGGGGCCGGCCACCTGGCCGGGTCCCCGCCGGGCGTCCCGAGTCGCGCACGCCGGCTGCCGGGCGGAGCGGGCACCCACTCGCCGGGAGAGGAGGGGGCCGGCCTGGCGTCGCTGTCCCCACCCCCCGCACTTCCCAAAAGCGCGTGTGCCGGGGTCCTAGTCTTTTATCTTCGGGGCAGGAAGAGCCAGCTTACCTGGAGAGGGGGTGGTGGGAGAAGGCGATCAGATGTTTGAGAAGATTTGGCGGAACCCGAAGTTTTTACGGTCTTAGGACTTTAACCTCGCTTTACGATGAATGCAATCGGGATCTCTTTTGGTGAATAGTTCTTTTATGTTCCGGGAGGCCTTAAGGAGGGCTGACTTGTTGATGGGAAAAGCACGTTGGTTGTTTAAAGTAAACAACACTCAAATAACAGGAAAACTGGTTGAGAAACTACTTAGTTAGCACCTGTTTTTCAAAGTGAGCCCCACTGTTTTAGGTTCTTCCGCGTGTTAGTGGAGTCTCAAATCTTAACTTGTATATTTGAAACATCGTTCTCTTTTGACTGTATTTATTCATTCAAAATGGATTGGTGATAATGAATCATCTGTCTCACTTGTTTGTATTTAGAACCAGTTTCACTTTCTTTTCTGTGTCATTGAATTAAGTCTACAGAGTTTGGTTTGTAGAAGTTTAAAGGTAGTCGATGTGTTTACCTACAAGTAATTAAAATCCAGGTTGTGTCTTTTTAAAGCGTACGTGTTTGAAAATGGAAATACAACCAGAAGGTGGATTACATTATTAATATATTAAAAAGCAGAATGTAACAGTTTCTTTTTGCATGTATTGATATTATTACCACAATGTATGAGGAATGCCATAATGTTTAGAGAGATGTTTATTCTTCTAAAAATGAAAAACATGTATTCTAGCCTCTTGTCACCACAAGGGAGAAGAAATACCATAGGAGGGACAGCATTTTAAGACTTTACAGTAAAACATTGTGCTTAGAGCAAGTTACACTTAAAGGAAACACTTGTGAAGTCACTTTGTCTCATTCCTCCACACACCATCCAACCTTGATTCTTGTACCCAGTTTTTTTTCAAACATGCTTTTGTAATTTTTTGTTTATCTGTCATCAGAAGATGTTGAGAAAAGTTTGAATTGTTCATTGAAGTAGTTGCTTAAAAGTCCTGAGATTTATAACAGTAGTGTTTAAAAGCTTTACTGAGAGTAAAGAACACGTAACATCTGAATCCTACACAGCATAGTTTGGCTTCCAGAAAGGTTTCTCTGTAGCAGATGGAGTTTAGTTTAATGCCTGATGGTTTCAGGGTAAGAATTCCTTGGCTGAATACACATAATGAAGGAGAATGGACGGTTTTGGTTTTCCCAAGTAATAATGCTATTTGGTTGTCAGTGACTTAGTTGTATGTTTTACTTAATTTTTTTTTTTAAGAGTTGTCCCCACCACCAAAAAAAGGCAACTGTAGCAAGTAAAATAGTTTTATTAGGTCATTAGTGAATGATTGTCCTGAAAGGGATGTTCACCCCAGAAAATTAAGGTTTTTGCTATTTAACATTATTGTAAATAAGGCTAGGTTAATTTGCTTCTTCCTTTTCTTCCTCCTCTACTCCTTCCTCTCTTGTTTTCTTGTTTTATAGTTTCTTTTGAGTGTCAAATGAGGAAAGTGTAATTTTTATTTGGATAATATGGCTCCGGCTTTCTTCCTGAGTAAAGGTCCTGTACTATATTTTACTTAGATTGTCTTAGCACTTCAGTTCAGTTTTTCTTTTTGTTAAGATCCAATTAACATCTTCTTTTCTTTTTCTACAAAAAATTCCAAAATTTTTTCTTTAAGGTTGTACTTTTTGGGAGGTGATAATCTTGCTCTCATGTAAAATCACAACAAAATCAAGGCTTAAAAAATCCCCTTGTTGTGAGTAGATAGTGCATGATAACATTTGTTAAGGTGTCATATACATGGGTATTTATTTCACTGTTCTGAGGATTTTTTGAAACAGGTTTTAATCCTACTTCAGAGCCCTTAAGGATTAAATGAGATACTTTGTACAAAGCGGTCACCTGCAGCCTGGTGCTGAGAGCAGACACTGGCTCCATCCTCTCTTCACAGCTCATTCATCTGTTGAGCACGTGTGGGGAGTTTTCCCTGTGCCAGGTCAGGGCGTACAAACAGGAGCCTGGCAGGCAGGACAGCTCCCCAACTGGAGGGTGCCCTGGGTGCTGGGGAGCTTCCAGGAGGGGTTCTCAGCCTGTCTTGGGGGAGGGGGCTGTCCAGGCAAGGGCCTAAAGGGAGCCGGGGGAGTGTTCACTGGCTGGGGGTGGAAGGGTGGGAGACCTGGGGAAGAAGACCAGCCCTTGCCAAGCCCGGAGAGAGCAGGTAGGATAGGGGAGAGGGCCGAGCGTGCCAGGGGAGGTTTCCGGGCCTGGCAGAGCGGGTCCAGGTGTTGTGGAGCTGTGAGGGGCGGGGCTCACCTGGGGGGCACCTGCGGGACAGTGGCCTGCTTGAGCGTTCCTGGAGCGCTGTGCCCTGGGCCTTGGTGGAGCCCGAAGGAGCCCCGCCGGGAATATGGGGCCTGGCGCCTGTTCCCAGCACTGACTAGTTTGGGTTAGGGTTGCCCCGTTTCGTAGACCCGGTAGATTTCTGTCCAGTCTCTCACAGGTTCTTATGAATATTAGGTTAGTGACTAACACAACGCCTAGGACATAGAAAGTGCTCAATTAGTGGTGGTCCCAAGATTTTAGAAGGGTTCAGAGAGAAAATTACAGTGAAGTACTTTTATAACATGTGTTTATTTTCCAGTTAGATGTCAGAAATGCCTTAACAGGCTTCATTTTAAAAAGTCATGTATATCAAATGAATGAGCCTTTTCAGAAAATGCGTTCCAAAAGTGACACTTCCTAGTTTTTTTCTAAAGTAGTATAGTTCAAACAGTGTCATTTTGAACTTGAAGCTTAAAGCTCAGTTTTCTTTTCAGGTAGTTGAGACTTTTCCCTGGGGAATTACATATGAATTGAAAATTGAGCCAAAGGTATTAGCGCATTTCACATTCCAGGTTTAAGCACAAGAGAGAAAAAGAGATACTTCATGAATGTAGAGAACTGGAAATTGAGGTAGTTGATTGTAAATCAAAATATTAGATTTTCAGAGGGCATGAAATAGAATGACACAATCTAATCAAATACTTCACTGAAGATTTTATGATGAAAAATCGTTGGCATGTTCAGATTAGCACAATGGTAAATATCCCAAGAAAATTATTACAGAGCTAAAAAAAAATACTGTTGCTTTTATATTGGAGTGATTTATTGGAGAATTAGCCTAACTGCTTTTAATTATTTTCAAAGATTTAATGGTAGAATAAGTAGATTACTTTTCTTGACCTTATGAAGCAAACATATGCTTTTCGTCTTTTACAGAGTTGAACAATGACCATAGTTGACAAAGCTTCTGAATCTTCAGACCCATCAACCTATCAGAACCAGCCTGGCAGTTCTGAGGCCGTCTCACCTGGAGACATGGATGCAGGTTCTGCCAGCTGGGGTGCTGTGTCTTCGTTGAATGATGTTTCAAATCACACGCTTTCTTTAGGACCAGTACCTGGTGCTGTAGTTTATTCAAGTTCATCTGTACCTGAAAAATCAAAACCATCACCACAAAAGGATCAAGGTATTACTTTTTTTTTTTTTTTAAGGTATTACTTTTTAAAAGACGGAATCGCTACAGGAAACTCCTGTATAAATGCTGTCCATTAGTTGGTAGTTTCAGAGAGGGGCTTATTTTGCAAGATAAATTATTGCCACCTGAGTGGCCAGCAGAGTTACGTTATTTGACAGGCTTCATTTTCCTCTGCTTCTGCTTCATGATTAACATACGTATCATAACAGGGTTAGATTATTTTTAGTTACTGTGAATTTCTTTAACTCCTAATTTTTGAAGGACAAACTTTATTCTGGTGAGAACCGAGAGGCACGAGCGTCTCATTAGCGTCATTAACTATCACGCCCTGAGTAATCGTCTGCTTCCTAAAGATTTAAAAACTGGTGACTTTTGACAAATGAGCTCTGCTCAACTTTGTTTTCAATTTTTTGTTTGTTTTTTCCCAGTTAAAGTCATCTGTAGTCTAAAGCTCTTTGAAAGAGAGCAGATCACGTAAATATTACATTATGTATCCAGCCATATAAATGTGGTTAGATGTGTTAAAAGTCATACAGATAAGTAAGACGTGGACACTTTAGCTGGTGCTCCTAAAACTTGGGGATTTGAAAGCTTTGAAACTGTGAGAAAAGATTGATTCCCACTCAAGACATTGTTCACGTAGGATGGCTTGGCCCTCAGAGTCCTCGCAGTACATGTGATGCTGTGATGTGGGGTGGGGGTGCGATTTGCTGAAGGTGTTTGGGGGAGTTTGTCTCATAGAACAGTTTTACGGAGAGGTTTGGAGACCTTTACAGTAAGGACTTTGCCCCAGCACGCCTTCCCGCAGACCCGGCCTCCTCTCGCCTTGCGGGGCTCCTCTCTGCCCCAAGGTGGAGTGGGTATCACCCCCGGCCCTTTTTTGGGGCGCTTGTCACACGTTTTAAAGACTCACGTCTCTGTTCCTGATTTGGCTCTGCCTTCTTCACGAAGCTGAAGCCTACCGAAATGCTCAATATTGCTGTTGCAAGCCGAGAACCATCTAGCGGGCGTCTTAGTCTTTGGTGGCACTGAGGAACTGGCAGACTTCTGAAGAAACACTCTGGCTGCGGGTGATTTTGGCCTCTCCTAAATAAGTTGTTTTTGAGCTTCACCTGAGTTTTATTAGCATAGTTTTCAATTAGCCATTTAAGTCTTAAAAATAGATAAATTCTTCGTGAATAGTGTCTTTCTGAGTATGTTATCATGGTGCCTAAAATCCCATCTCCCTACTGGTAAAGCTGGGATGACGTCACTGCCACCCTTCAGAATCGAGACCGCCCGACAGCCGGTGAGGACTCAGACGGCGGAGGGGGCGGCGCGGGCCGGGCTGTCCGTACCCGCCGCAGGGGCCGCGGGCGCCGACCTTCCTGCGCGTGCTGCGGGGCTGGTGTTAGCTAAGTAGACGGGAAAGAGGGCGACTATGGCAGAGTCTCAGGTGCCCTCGGGTCAGCCTTGTCTGTCGGCTCCTGGCCACTCCTACCTCCACCCACTAACTCCTCACCTCGCTTCCCAGCCGTTTAAAGCAAATCTCAGACTTTCTATTTCATCTGTAAATAGTTTAATGTGTCTTATCTAAATCATTCTTTTCTGAAAATTAAAATGTTTTCCTATTAAAAATCCAGTCAATATTCAGATGTCCCCGGTCGTCGTAGAATGGTTTTTAACAGTTGGTCATTGAAACCAACTTCCAAACAAGGTCTACCCTTTGCATTTGGTGAATGTCTCTTTTAAGTTTTTTTTAAATCTGTTAAATACTGTCCCCTCTCCCACACAGACACTTTTGTCCTTGAAATTTATTTGTCAAAAAACCCAAATCATTTAGAATTTCCCGCATTCTGGGCTCTCTTCTTTTAGTCCCTTTCTCCCCTGTGTTTCTGGTTAGCTGGTCATAAGAATCTTGGTCAAGTTCAGGTGTGATGTGTTGTTATTTATTTAGCTTCAGAAGTGTACAAAGCTTTCGTTTTAACTGTTTATTTTTCTAGCCCTAGGTGATGGCATTGCTCCTCCACAAAAAGTTCTCTTCCCATCAGAGAAGATCTGTCTTAAATGGCAACAGACTCATAGAGTAGGAGCCGGGCTCCAGAATTTGGGCAATACCTGTTTTGCAAACGCAGCACTGCAGTGTTTAACTTACACGCCACCTCTCGCCAACTACATGCTATCACATGAGCACTCCAAGACATGTAAGTGTCCTGACGCGTGTAGTGTTGTGGTATGCTAACCTACTTTCATTTTTTTCTCTGAAATGAAAGTGAAGAATTAAGTCAAGAATTTGGTCATCACTAAGTTGGTTTCTTTTAGAAACCACGGAGGAAGACTCAAAGGTTTGCATTCAGGTTGCATAAAAAACATTTTGCATGTAATTTAATCTGTGAAATTATTTAAAAAGAAACGTTTTTTCAGCATTTGGTGTTTCTGAATACACTGCTGACTTTCTACACTTACTAAAAATCGTGCCATAAATACCTACTGCCAACAGCTTGGGACAAGCAGGGTTGAGTCCTGCCTCTCCTGGCGTCCATCCTGTGTCGAAGGCTTGATTCATTTACAGACTTTAGGCGTAAGAGGAGCCTCTGGTCACAGCTTCTAACCCCTGGAAATTTGTGCAGGACTTTCCCTTTGGTGTATGAGAGCTCAGTTTCCAACCTAGAGGGCAGGAAATTAGTTAAAACATGTTATGTCTTTAAAAACATGTTATGTCTTTCAAAGAGCATGTTTTACTTTAACTAGGGGAGAGCCAACTCAGTGGTCAACTAGTGAAATTCAGAATTTAGAACGTATCTATTTTTTGTTGAGGTCTTGAACGTCTACATATAGTATTATAAATGCCCTTCACCTTTGATAAATGAAAACTCCCTGTTCTTTGATCTACATGAATGTGTATGTGGATGTTCAGGTGCTAGTCCTTCATTTCAGGGTGAAAAAAAAAAAAGCCCTTGATTTCTTTCTGAATAGTTCTTTACTTTTTTTGTTGTTGTTGGCTTGTGGGATCTTAATTCTCCCACCAGGGATGGGACCCCGGCTCTCGGGAGTGAAAGTGCTCAGTCCTAACCACTGGACCATCAGGAAATTCCTGAATAGTTACTTGACGGAGAATTTAGACACATTCTTTTAAAACTTTTCCCCCCAAAGAGCAAAATTATGGCTGTGTAAAGAATTTGGAAAGTACAGAAAAATTTAAAGTAACCAAAGGAAAATCACTGAGACTGTCAACCACCAAGAGGTGTTTGCTATGCCAGGGGGTTCAGATTACAGAAAAAAGATTCTCTTTGCCCTCATGTTTTCCTTTTCCAAGTCCGTAGTTGGTAATTATGTTACTATGTAATAATTGACATACTAACACGGACAGTTTTCTGATCATTTTTACACTTAATAAAACTGGGGTGTGAGTCCAGCCCTGGCCCCTGGGCATCGAGAGAGAGGGGCGGAGACAAAGGTGCAGCTGCCTGGGGTTCCAGAGTCAGGTGCCCGTCTTCTGCAGGCCCTTGGTAGTTTTCCCTCATTATCAATAAACAGTAAACTGCACATACTTAAAATACACAGTTCGATGCATCTTGACGTTTGTGCGCACCCATGAAACGACCACCACGATGAACTCTTTCATCGCCCCGGAAAGTCTCAGTGTGGCTTTGAAATCAGCCCTTCCAGCCCTTCCTGCCCCGTATCCCTTCCAGACCATGCAGCCACTGATGGGCTTTCTGTTTTACTGCAGATGAGTTTGTGTTTCCTAGAATGTCAACTATGGGGGATTACACAGTATTTATATTGCCTGGCTTTTTCACTCAGCAGTTATTTCAGTATCATTCATTCCGTGTTGCTGCCTGGATCAGCAGTTACTTTTTATTGCTGACTAGTACTCCATTGTATGGATGGATGTACAACAGTTTGTTTCTCCATTCACCTGTTGACAGACCTTTGGGTTATTTCCCTTTCGGGGCAGTCACAAGTGAAGCTGCTGTGAGGTTTTTGTAAGGACATGTGTTCATTTCTTGTGGGTAAGCATCTAGGAGAGGAATGGTTTGGTCCTATAATATGGGTACGCTTGACTTTAAGATACTTCCAAACTGGGAAGAGGAGTATGAGATTTTATATTTCCACCAGCAATGAATGAAAGTTTCATTTGCTCCACATCTTCCCTTATCCTTGGTGTGGTCAGTCTTTCTAATTTTAGCAACTCTTAACAGGTGTGTAGTGTGACAGTATCTTACCGTGGTTTGAATTTGCATTTCTGTAGTGAATAATGGTGTTGAACATCCCTCCATATCGTTCTTCAGCAGCTGTGTATTTGCTTTGCCCAAGTGCTTGCTCCTGTCTTTGGCCTGATTTAAAATTGGGTAATTCTCTTCTTGTTGAGTTTTGAGACTTTTTTTATGTATTCTGGATAGAAGTCCTTTATCTAGTACATGACTTGCGAACCTTATTTCTCAAACTGGAGAAGAGAGTCTCTTCACGCTGTCTTTAAAAGAGCATGTTTTATTTACGTCAGTATTTTTCTTTCTTTGTCAGTTGTGCTGTCAGTATTGTATTTAAGTAATCTTTGCCTAACCAGAGGTCGCAAATATTTCCTCTATTTTTTTTTTTAAGCAGTCTTATACTTTTAGTTTTTATGTTTAGGTCAGTGATCCATTTTGAGTTAATTTTTGTCTGTGGTGTAGAGTTCATGTTTTTCAATATGAATATCCAATTGTTCCAGCACTGTTTATTCAAAAGATAGCCCCTTCTCCACTGAATTGTTTTTGTACCATTGCAAAAATCAATCGATCGTATCCATATGGACCTGTTTCTGACCTGTTTTGTTACGTTGATCCACTATCTGTCTTGACTCCATAACATAATGTCTTTTTAAAAAATTATTTCTTTTCTTTATTATTTGCCTTTTTGACTGCACTGGGTCTTCATTGCTGCACCAGCTTTATTTGCAGCAGGCGGGAACTTCTCCCTTGGGGTGCTTGGGCTTCTTATGAGGTGGCTTCTTGTTGCAGAACACAGCTCTAGGGCACCGGCTTAGTTGCACACAGCCTGATAACAGCAGTGTCTGGTTACTGTGTATTTAAAAGTTTTGAAACTAGGTAGCTTTTCCAACTTTGCTCTCCTTTTTCAAAGCTGTTTTGGCTGTTCTTGGTCTTTTGCATTTCCAAACTGACTTTGAAATCAGTTTGTCAATTTCTACAAAAAAGCCTCCTGAGAGTTTGCCTAGGATTGTGTTGAATCTGTAAATCAGTTTGAGATGTATGATATCTAAACAGTATTGCCTTCTGACCCACAGGCAAGATGTACGTCTCCATTTATTTAGGTTCTCTTTGGTTTTTCTTAGTACTGTTGCATAGTTTTCAGTATACAAGTATAATATGCACATTTTAAAATCTGATTTATTGTTAAGTATTTCATATTTTTGAAAGCTATTATAAATGGTAATATGTATTTTGACCTTCAAGTTTTGATTGTTTATTGCTAGACTGTAGAAATGCAGTTGACTCTTGTTTATTGATTTCATATCCTACAATTTTGCTAGCTCCATAATTCTAGTATTTTTTTTTAATAGTTACCTGATTGGTTACCCATGTGATTGCTTAGAGGCATGTTATTCAGTTGCCATATGTTTGGGGATTTTTCAGAAATTGTCCTGCTACTGATTACTAATTTAACTCCATTGTGGTCAGAGAAGATACTTTTATTGTTTGAATCCTTTGAAACTTGAGACTTGTTTTATGCACTAGAATGTGGTTTAGTTTGTTAAATATTCTGTGTGTACTTAATAAGGATGTATATTCTGCATTGGTTGGAGTTTCTATAAATGCTGAGTATGTTTAGTTAGTTGATAATGTTAAGATAGTCTTTTATGTTCTTACTGCTTTTCTGTCTACTTGTTCTATCAAATTTTGGGAGAGATACATTGAAATAAAATACATTGAATAAAATTCTTTTTTTTTTTTAAATAAAATTCTTATACATAGCCTTTAGTTCTTATTTTTTAATCCAGTCTTACAGTCTCTACCTTTTATTTTAGAGTGTAAATCATTTATATTTAATGAGAGTATTGATATGATTGGGTTTTTTATTTACCATCTTGCCATTTGTCTTCTGTTTGTCCTGTATTCTTTGTTCCCTTTATCATCTGTTTCTGCCTTCTTTTGGAATGAGTGATTATATGATATTTCCTCTACTTTATTGGCATATTTTCTCAACTTTGTTTTCTCTTTTTAGTGTTTAACATACATCTTTAACTTACCGTAGCTTCCTTTAAAGTACCATTCCGGAGGGTGGGGGAAAAAAATACTATTCCATTTCTTATATGTTGTAAGGACCTTATGACAATATACTTTCATGACCTCTCCCTCGGCATTTGTGCTATTGTTGTCATACATTTTATTTTTACTTATTTTGTAACCACATAATACGTTGTGTTATTTTGCTTTAAATAAAATTTGAAAATTTTAAGTGGTTTGTAAAGGTTTCTTTACAAATCTTTTATATTTCTTACTCTTATCATTTCTACTGCTTTTAATTCCTCTGTGTAGATCCAGATACCATCTGGTATTTTTCTTATGCCTAGAGGAATTCTCTTAACTATTTTTGCTGATTTTTGTTTTGCTTTTTTATTCTTGGTCTGAAATGTCTTTATTTTGCCTTTTTTGAAGTTAAACTTTTTATTTTGAGGTAAGTTTAGATTTCCATGCAGTTGTAAGAAATCACAGAGACATCCTGTGTACGCTTACCCAGTTTCCCTGAGTGGTGACACTGCAGTTCAGTCTTGCAACCAGGATATTGATCCTGATACAGTCAAGGTATGGAAGTTTCCGTTCCTAAGGAAGTTTCCCTTTAAAGCCAAGCCCACTTCTCTCGTGCCCCTACAGCCTCCTTAATCCCTGGCGAACCACCCTGGTTTTCAGTTATGTTATTTTGTTATTTCAAGAATGTTGCATCTATTGAATTATTTAATAGGGAATTGGCTTCTTCACTTAAGCCTAAGTCTTTGGATATTTCTTCACTTTGTTGTATATGTTAATAATTTGTTCCTTTTTGTTGCTGAGTCGTATTCCATGGTATGGATGAACCACAATTTGTTTAACCATTCATCCATTAAAGGACATCTGGGGTGTTTCTAGTTTTGGATGTTGTGAATAGAGCCGCTGTAAATGTTACTGTGTAGCTCCAGTACTCTAGCCACCTGATGCAGAGAGCT